ATATTGGCCGTCGAACGGTTATCCCCGTAGCTATAGAACGTACCCGATGGGGTGTCTCCTTTATTTATGTATGGCAATCAGGGCATGAGCCTTGGCTGGTGATCCTCGATGTAAGTCCGAAGGGATGTTTCCGGGCATTCGGGGTGGATTTACTCTCACTGTCTGGGCATTGAATGTAAGGCCCGCGGGGGATTTCAATACGTGTATCAACAGTGGTCTAGTGGTATAGGTGTGCACATGAGAGTTGACTTTGGGAAGGAGATGGGATATTAATTGATTTGTGTTCATACTGCGACCATACCTGCTTTATTTTATAAATTCGAATATTAATTATTGCATAGCGGTGAGCACCTCGATTTTTCTATTGTGCTCATCCCCACCTGCTCTTCATGGATGCAGGTTAGTAGTTTGCGGGCACGACAGAGGGAGGCGAGTGGTGGTCATATTACTGATTATTTCCGTTGCATAAACTGCTTAGTATTATTTATGCATTTCTGATTTATGTTGGATTTCGGATTATTCATAGGGAGTGTACTCCCTAGTATTGATGTTATTTATGAACGCGGTTTGGGTGTTGGCATGAATATTGAACCCGATTTGGGTGTTGGCATGAATATTGAACCCGGTTTGGGTGTTGACATGAATATTGAACCCGGTTTGGGTGTTGGCATGAATATTGAACCCGGTTTGGGTGTTGTCATGAATATTGAACCCGTTTGGGAGTTGCATTTATGATAATGTTGAAATTGTTTTTAGAAATGAGTAGCGCCTCAAGTGTTTTGAAATAAAATTTGAAAAATTTATTCTGATTTTTGGCAAATAAAAGTGGGGCGTTACAGTTTGGTATCAGAGCCAGTTTGCGTTTCTGTAGACTGGTTAACGTGAATTATGTGATTACTTGCTTTGACCTCATATTATGACCACTCGCTCTCGTGTGTCGCGCCAGCTCAAGTATGAGTACCTGAATGATTTAAGATTATTGTGCATTGATTGGTTATTGATTACTGAAATGAAATCGGGGTTTAGGAATTTATCCTCCTACTTTTAAACGTTCTGGAACTCTAGATGAGTGGCGAACCTTAGTTGTATGAATTTGAACTTTAGCGATATAGAGTTAAGTTCTAACTTGAGGTTTTGTTTGTTTAGAAATTTGATAGGGTGTTATCGATCTGAGTTCTGTGTATAACAGTCCTATCGATGTATTTTGGTGTCTTCGGAAGAGGACCATTCGCGAGCCATCTCGAAAGGAGAAGGTTTAAACGAAGGGAGCAGACAACCGAAGAAGTCTCAAGTGTGGGCTATTCAGAGGACTGTAACCATGGTTATTAAGACCATCAGATGTGAATATGCCTATGTTAATTTTGTGTTCATGAGTTTGAAATTGGTTTAAATATATGTTTAATATATGTCGACGATCTCTTCGATTTTGAGAAATCGAACGAGACCTCGTCAATTCGTGATATAGTCGCTGTGGATTGGAACGTTGTATCTTCCTTAATCCTATGGCGAAGACTTCGGACGAATTCGTCGTAAAACGAGTCGTAGATAAATTGTTGAACTTTAATAACCGCTGTTTTAGTGTTGGAATTATTAAAAATTATGTACTGCTTATTGCCTTGAAATTTTGAGGGTCTTGTCTTCTGTTGAACATCTGACTTGTGTTAAAAGTTCGTAATTTTCCAAGGCCTTTAGCTATTTTAAATAATTAGAATGATTTCTGGTCAGTTTCATGTTAATTGCGTAATAAATTGTGTAGTGATCTAAATTGGCTGAAAATTTAGTATGTTACGCCACTGTTATGATTGTATTTTGTGTAAAATTGTTGGAATTTTTGGACTAAGTTGATAGGGTAAATAATTTATTTTCTGATTCTGCAGAAAGTTATTTTATTTATCATAAATCGGTTAGTTGTTGAAAAATTTTGAAACTTGACTGGAGTACTTTTTTTATTTGTGTTTTCATGCGTTTAAAAGATGAGAATTTTTGGAGTTCAATTTGGTTTGGTTTTAACTAAATTTTGATAACTGCTGAAACTTGTAGGAATTTTTAAAATTCGTACAGTTAATGTCCAAGGCTGAAATTTTGACATTTTGCCACTCTCATGCTGTAGTATGTGGTATAAAAATTTCATAGGTTAGTTCATTCATTTAATATGGTTGCTACTTTATGCTCATTTTTGCCATAATCTTGCTCGAATTTTATAATATAGCACAGTTTGAGTTTGTAACTGAAAATTTGTGGTATTGCTTAATTCTGGGAGGTGGAATTTTGGGGAAAATTTCAGAGTTAAATTCGTATGATAACCTGACCAACCTAATTTTGTGATTAAAATCTAGTATTTTTAAATATATGGCTTCTTGCAATAAAAACAGTGAATCGACTCGTTTTTCGGTTCTTTAAGTGTTTGACTTGGTCAATGTTTGTTTTGAATTATGTGAACTCCCATGTGTATTTGGCTGAGTCTTAGTGTCGAGTCTAAGTGTTCCAACGTCCACAGGACTTCATGAACAACTTAGTCGAATTAAGTTCGGCTGAGTATAATTGTGAATTCCGTTTAAGTCAAAGTAGATGTTGAATATAACATCTGGACTTAATGAAGGTGCTTGACGAGCCGAGCTTGCCGCCTATAAGTGCTTTTGTGTTATCTCCTGCTGTTATCGAGATGGAGTGTTTTTCCACCTTAAAGGATTATGCAGAAATCTTTTAAGGAGGATAGACGAGTCTGGAGCAAGCACATCGTGTAGTGCAGTACCGTCATTATCCTAAATTTTGTTCATCGTAAAAAAAAATTGTTGTTCTTTTCCTCCTTTCGGAATCCCGGGAAACTTCGCGTTCAAATTCCAAAGTGTGAAGATTGGGAAGTGAGTTGAGCTCGTTTAGGACTGCTGACACGATTAGCTACCCGAGGAAGAGCTGACGTGTCGGCCGACACTGTTAGTCGGAAGAGCGGAAGCAAGCTATCTATTTAATGACTTAGCAGAAGCCGCTGACTTAGAGAGAATCGTAATGAGAGTTCTTTTGAGATTTCGCGTATCGTTAGATCTGTGGCGTATTGAGTTTTGTTGTTTTAGGGAGTTGGTGGACTTGGAACTCGAACTTGCACCTTGCCATTTTTGAAACTTTTTTAAACTTTTGAAATTGTGAACGCCTGAAATATACATTGTTTTGTTGATCCCAAAATTTTTGAAATTTGGTAAAACCATTCATTTTTGGTAGCCTTGAATTGTGACTCCTTGTGAAAACCTGGACCAAACGCCAACCCTGACTGGGTGTAGCCACGCGAAGTGGTGGCCGAGCACGCACGACCGTGCTGAAAGACGGGAGGCTTGCGCGCGGCCGACCGTTGACTCGCATGCGAACTGCAGCCGCCATCACCTAATGCACAAACTCCCCAGGCCAGTGTGTGCGGCCAAGCCTCGACCTTACAGCTGGTCTCCGAATAGGTGGGTACGCACGCGTCCCAGCGTCCCGCTTATGCAGCGCCAGCGAGCGTGCCGCCTCCTGGGTGACAGTACAGTAACCCCGAACCTTCGATTCATTTCTTTGATCGACCGGTTTTGCGGAGATATTTATGTTACCTCGAACCTTGAACCGAGGGCTCCAAGTTCCACTAAAATGTGTATAAATCCTTAATCGATGGTTTCTGATTAAGGAGTGTAGTCGATGAGTCCATATGCTTTACTTGAGAGTTTCTCGAGTCGGCAAATTGGAAATGTCGTGTTTCTTTGGGTCAAGCCTTATGTTTGTGCATAAGGGTTGTGTTCGACCCGTGGAGTCGATATCATGAGAGTGTGAGCTTGATGGTGTCGTGCTTTATGTATGTGGTACCGTGTCGTTGTCTCTGATAGAGACACGCGGCTGTGATGAAATCGTGAGCAAGTTGTCAGTGTGACTCGGATGCGAGACTGAAACTTGGCGTCACGTGTCCACCTTGATGGTGAGGTAGTCAGCTGACAATACACCGAACGACCTGTTAAGGTCTTGTGTGCTGTAGCAAGTCGTTGATACTCATGAGTATAGGCTAAACCGAACTGGGTCCCTTGCAAGAAGATGTACGCCTGAGCTCGGGCAGGACTGATCACCCTCCCAAGCAAGAAGGTAAACATATAAGCATGAGCGAGTCGGATTGGTTCCTGTATATGTACATACCTTTCGAGTATAAGGCGATAGGACTCATGGGACGGACCTCGTGATTGGAAATTCCCGTTCGAGTCTGGCGTTCCTTTTAGATGTGTGTTCTTTCGCATTTCTGAGGACGGAAATGTTTTAAGGAGGATAGATTGTAATGCCCCTTTTCACGTTGGAATTTTTGAGGATTTCTATTATTATTATTATTTTTATTATTATTATTATTATTTAATTGTTATTATTATTATTTATTGAATGCTATAGATTATTAACTGTCAAATGTGATTTATTTGTCAAATTGCCTAATTGTCTAAATATTAATTAATTGCCTAATTGTCTAAATGTTATTATTTAATTAAAAATGTGTATTTGTATTTTTACTAATATTATTATTATTTTCTTAAAATTTAAATTGTGTATTATCAATTTATATTATATATTTGGTTTGTTTATTCAATTATGCGAATTTATTTATCGAGCCCGGGAAACCGTATTATTGCTACGTAGTCGGGCTCGAGAGCCGAACCGTGTTATCAAATTTATATTCCAGCCCATTTTGCTATGTGAATTAAATGGCCAAATTTCTTGCTAATAAAATCCTGACCCAATGTTAAATGGTTTCGGCCCAAATCCCTTATATCACCTTGGCCCAAATTGGGTTGAGATTGGCAGATTTATCTCTTTCTTCATCCTCACACGCAGCGACCGAGTCTCTCCTTATCTACAGTTCAAATTTTGTTCCGATTTGTTTGTGAGATTCTCCTCACGTTCGACTTCTTTTCGCACCTATTAATCAGAGAAGTCGTTCTTCAATCCTCTCCTCACCTTCAATCGCAACATCGCTCTGTTAAAAAAAAAGAAAAAAAAAAAAATCAGTCTGATCCTTCTTCTCCGGCGAGATCCTGTTCGTCCGGCGAGCCATCTCCGAGCTGCCACTGCCGTCAAACGAGTAGCACGCTACCTTCAATTGCAAGCCTAAGCTTCGGTCCATTTCACAGGCAGTTCACGTCCATTCTTCCGTTCAGAGCCATTAATTCCGGCGAACACCTCGGGCATCCCTGTTCGCCGCCGTCCGTCCTCGATCAGTTGCCGTCTGTCGTCGAGGGCAGCGTCACTTTCAGTTGGTCCAGTGGCGTGCTGCGCTCTCTAGCGTGAGTGAGGTCCTTGGTTCGAACCTGCCTCTTGTCTATTTTTTTAAAAAAAATACCAGTGCCCATTCTGTTGCTAGCAGTAGAAAACGCGCGGGTGTCCAGCCCGCATTAGGCCCGCGCTCAGCCCGCCTTCCAGTCAGTAGCAGAAGCCCGAATCAGCTCGAGCTCGGCCCATTCTGTCTCTGCCTCTCTGGCCCGCGAACCCGGTGAAGCCCGCGCCCTTGTTCCCTTAGCAGGCCCAAAATTTCAGCCTTTTTCCTTGTTCAATTGCGGCCCATTTAACGTGTCTAGGCCCATTTCCGCGGCAGATTAATTCCAGCGCGGCCCAACTCGTCTTTTTGGCCCTTTTTGAGTTCCGGAAGCCCGTTTTTAATACCGATTTTAATTTTAAAAATATTTTCAAAATGAGAAAAAATTGGTAAAAATTATTTTAAGTCCCGAGACTTTATTTTAGTCCTCCGAGTCATTTCTTTTAAAAATGTGAGAGTTCCAAGTTCACGAAAAATTTCGATAAAATCCCTTAATCATTATTTTGATTAAGTGTGAGTCTTTAATGATCTTAAAAATCAAGATAATGTACTTATGAGATTATCTTGATTAAATGTAGGTGTTTGATGAGTCGAGCCCTCGACCTACCGACTGTTTGTGTGCTTTTTCTACCGACTTACCAGGTGGGTTTTATTTGAAAATTCTATGCATTAATTAATTGTTATTGTTGTGGTATGATCAAAGTATGCATTTGAACCATGTAGCATTCGATGAGCCATATTGGCTGTCGAATGGTTATCCCCGTAGCTATAGAACGTACCCGATGGGGTGTCTCCTTTATTTATGTATGACAGTCAGGCGTGAGCCTTGGCTGGTGATCCTCGATGTAAGTCCGAATGGATGTTTTCGGGCATTCGGGGTGGATTTACTCTCACTGTCTGAGTATCGAATGTAAGGCCCGCGGGGGATTTCGATACGTGTATCAGCAGTGGTCTATTGGTATAGGTGTGCACATGAGAGTGGACTCTGGGAAGGAGATGGGATATTAATTGATTTGTGCTCATACTGCGACCATACCTGCTTTATTTTATAAATTTGAATATTAATTATTGCATAGCGGTGAGCACCTCGATTTTTCTATTGTGCTCATCCCCACCTGCTCTTCATGGATGCAGGTTAGTAGTTTGCGGGCACGACAGAGGGAGACGAGTGGTGGTCATATTACTGATTATTTCCGCTGCATAAACTGCTTAGTATTATTTATGCATTTCTGATTTACGTTGGATTTTGGATTATTAATAGGGAGTGTACTCCTTAGTATTGATGTTATTTATGAACCCGGTTTTGGTGTTGGCATGAATATTGAACCCGGTTTGGGTGTTGGCATGAATATTGAACCCGGTTTGGGTGTTAACATGAATATTGAACCCGGTTTGGGTGTTGGCATGAATCTTGAACCCGCTTGGGAGTTGCATTTATGATAATGTTGAAATTGTTTTTGGAAATGAGTAGCGCCTCAAGTGTTTTGAAATAAAATTTATTCCGATTTTTGCAAATAAAAGTGGGGCGTTACAGTTCTTTCTGCTTTGGTTGATTTTTTTCTTCTTTTTTGTTTTTTCTTCCTTGTTTCTATTGTTTTTATTTGTTGTTTGGACGTGTAGACTTGTGACTTTTTAACCCAATTAGGGTCATGACTGAAAAAAAATGCAGTAATTAGCCCATGCCTAGTTTGTTTACGATGATCAGTATAAAGTGAACCGCTCCTCTCTGGGATCCATTCAATACACCAATGTGTACTAGTGTCACTAATCAATCAAGGCAAATTGTACCGCTCATAGTACAACCGTTCCAATGGATTGATCCATTTCCATCTAGGTTATGAAACAATTGTTTATGTTTTGCAAGTAACCTATAAATGAGCTTCTGTACGTCCGTGATGAACCATTTATCTAATTTCAAAGCAATAGAACATAGAACTTTATTTAAAGGCCTAATGGCGGGAAAATACACGACCTTTACTTGTTGCCTATTTAATCACGACCTTTAAACATTGGCAAATAAATACATGACCTTTACTTCTTGGCAACCCGATACACGCGTTTAACAGCCGTCAACGGAAAGCTGACGTGGCAATTTTTTTTATCGGCCACGTCACCGAGAAAACTGACTCAGCACACAGGAGCCAAATCATCATTTATTTCCTGGCAGTTTAATACACCACCTTTGGTTATCCTTTGTTGGCAAAAGCTGCCACNTATGTTAAATAATAATGAAAGTTAAATAAAAGTGTGCTTATGAGCCACTTGATCTAACACAACTTGTGTTAAATATTTGACTTCACTTATATATATACCAACATCATTTTATCTTAAAAGTGGTATAATAATTCATTTTATACCACTTTTAATCATAAAAATCATACATAATTTATGTATTACATAATTTATGAAATAAAAAATAGCAAAGTAAATAAAAAAAATATATTATTAATATATTTATTTATTTAATATATTTTTTAATACATTACTATATAAACATATTTTTATTTATATGTATTATATATATTTAAGATATATAATATTGTGTTATTTAATATATTTATTTATTTAATATACAAATTAAATTTAATTAAAATTAAACAAAGTAAATCAGTATAAAAAAATAATACACATTTAATAAATAAATTACTAATTTTACTAGTTTACTAATGTATATATCGTAATTTATACACATTTAATAAATAAATTAAGTATAAATTTTATATTTAAAAGTGGTATAATAATTCATTTTATACCACTTTTAATTATAAAAATCATACATAATTTATGTATAAAATATGAATTAATTATGAAATAAAAATATCAAATTAAATAAATAATTAAATAATAATCAATTATTAATATATTTATTTAATAAATTTTATTAAATATATATACTTAATATCCCCTCTATATATAATTTCATAATGCGTTGATCCTACGTGGCAAATTCTCATGTTTCAGAATCCTATTTGGCAAAAATTCATGCTTTGGAGTTAGGTTTGGATATAAATTAATATTTGTATTAATTGTATTTTAATATCATTTCCTATTATAACCATTGAATTGCACATGTATTTTAAAAGTTGATAACTTTTGTATTTCTTATCGGTTTTACATATATAATATATCAAATTAATCATCTTTTGATGAACTTCGATTTGACATCCACATTGTATATATAAACTAAATGAATTATATTTATCTTTATAATAATAATAAAATTGTTTATTAAAATTTATTAGAAAATAAAATTATTTATCAATTAATATATTTATTTTTAACGTTGTTATGTGTTATAAGGTAGAAAATTTATTATAATATAACACATATAAGTCACACCTCTATATATAATTTCAGAAAGCGTTGAGCCTACGTGGCAAATTCTCGTGTTTCGGAATCCTATTTGGCAAAAATCATGCTTTGAAGTTAGACTTGGATATAAATTAATATTTATATTAATTTAATATCATTTTCTATTATAACCATTGAATTGCACATATATTTTAAAAGTTGATAACTTTTGTATTTTTTATCGATTTTACATATATAATATATCAAATTAATCATCTTTTGATGAGCTTCGATTTGACATTCACATTGTATATATAAAATAAATAAATAATATTTATCTTTATATTAATAATAAAATTATTTATTAAAATTAATTAGAAAACAAAATTATTTATCAATTAATATATTTATGTTTAATGTAGTTATATGTTATAAGGTAGAAAATTTATTATAATATAACATATATAAGTCGCACAAGTAACATGTGTCATTCTAAAATATATAATAATATATACTCCCTTCTATTTTTATTATTTGTCGCTTTGGCAGTTTGGCTTAACTGATCATTGATAAAATAAATGTCGTTTTAGATATTTTGTTCATATTTTTTCATTTTTAACCCTCCATCTAATACACAGTGTATCTTCATATCTCATCTCCATCGTTTCCCATAACATCCATTAAATAGGATTAATATTGTCAAGAAAAAAAAAATCTTAATTAATGTGTTGCATTTGAATTGATATTATGAGGTCCATTTATATTTTACTATTTTTATATATATATGAAATTTTTTTATCTATGAATTAGGCCTATTAGTAATATATTACTAATAAGGATAAAAAATACTTTTATCTATGAATAGATACAAAACAGTAATATATATCCTTATAGATAAAATTTAAATTTTTTTATCAAACTAATAAATTATATCAAATAAAACTATAAATTATATTGTAAAGTAATAGAAATTAGTATATATTCGTTTAAAAATGATATTTATTTAAAATCTAATTGATATGTTGTCAATGTAATAAAATTAAATAATTATTATTAAATTCTAAAATTACATATAAAGTTAAAAAACTGTGTAGCACGACTGATATGATACTTGATGTATTAGGCATCTAATTAAGTAAAAAAATTAATCTATTTTGCTTAATATTAAATAAACATATTCCACACTTATGCATATACATATCACCATAATATTTCTATTTACTTAAGATATATATTTTTGTACTTATGTAATAGTAAATAATATCGATATTTTTATATGATATAAGTAAAAAAATTCAACATGGGTTGACATTTTCATTTAATGTACGGGTGTTTAATCATTATGATTAAAAAAACATAATTTGACAATTTAATTAAAACCCAAAGTAATGTTTTATATAAAATTAAATTATTTTAGTTTTTAAAAAAACTAACAATTTAATATTTTTTACAAAAACTTTCTAATTCAACACCCGTGTAATACACGGGTATTGTACTAGTATTTATTAATAATATATTTTTTAGTACATTATTTAATATATTTATCTATTTAAATATATCATATATGTCTAATTTATATAATATTTTGTTATTTATTATGTTTATTTATTTAATATACAAATAAAATTTAACTAAAATTAAATAAAGAAAATCAGTATGAAAAAACAAAATAAATAATAGAATTCAAATAAAATAAGGTAATTTAATTTGTATAATTAAATTTTGTAAAAGTTTTATAATTGAAAGTGGTATTAAATATAATTTCAATTTATTTTAATTATAAATTTTGACCATATGTTTTTCATTAAATATAAACTCACTATAAAATAAAAATAAGCAAAATAATAAAAAGTACTATATTATTTAATTACCTTTTTTTTATTTAACTTTCATTACTATTTAATATACTTAAATAAATAAATATATTAATAATATATATATATATATATATTAAATAATGTAGTATTATTTATCTATTTATTTAATTTACATATTTTTGTTTCCTAATTATTACATATTTAAAATAAATTATGTATAAGTTTTATAATTAAAAGTTGATAGAGTTATTATTATTATTATTATTATTATTATTATTATTATTATTATTATTATATGCATTAAAATTAAATTGAGCAATGCTGATGTGACAGCTTTTTGTCAACAAAGGTTAAGTTCATGTATAGGGTTGCCCTAAAACCAAAGGTGGTGTATTAAACTGCCAAGAAATAAATGATGAATTTTCTCTTGTGTGCTGAGTCAGATTTCTAGGTGACGTGGCCGTTAAAAAAAAATTGCCACGTCAGCTTTTCCTTTGACGGCTGTTAAAAACGTGTGTCAGATTGCCAAGAAAGTAAAGGTCGTATTTTTATTTGCCAAGGTTTAAAAGGCGTGATTAAATGGCCAATCGAGTAAAGGTCGTGTATTTTTCCGCCATTAAGCCTTATTTAAACAAACATGATTCTCATTTAATATAAATAGTGTGAATCACATCTAGAGTCAAGCTTTCAGTAAACATACTAACTATAAGAAACAACAGTTTCCACAAGATAAGTTGTGTCTAACAAGAACCTCCCACTGCAAACCTCTTACCTCAGAATCATTACTAGCAAAAACAAACACAACCCAAAAACATTCATCACTATCAGACAGAAATTTGATCTCATTGTCCACATGTGTAATTTCAAGAACAGTAATCTTAGAAGACCAGCAAAGAAACAAGACACCCTTAGTTCCTACAGGATTAACATAAAACCACTTATCTTCTAGTTTAAGTTTTCTCAAAGAGACTGAATAAATTTTTATGTTTAATGGATCCTTAAGGTTTCCTTAAGCTGGAAAATTGTAGAGGGTCCTCCCAAACCTCTATATTTCCACACACTAGCTTTCATTGGAAACCTTGGGACTAGTTATGGCTAGTTTCTTCACCACATAGTTAAGGAGTTCCTCAGCTAATTTGATCTACTTCCATTCAGTTATAAACCTTTCTAATTCTACTCTTTTTTCTTGAACATCCTCACTCCTTCTATTACCAGCACTCCTACCTGCAACTCCTAATCCTCAGACACCACATTATCTATTATCATTCTATCCTTCGCACTTTCTTTTTCAATCCTGTTTTTTCTAGTGAAAATATTTTTCTTCCTCTGAGCAATTTTTCCCCTATAGAAGCAGGGAGAATAGCCACTTCCACAAGACTGTTTTCATTTTGATCAGGGGAGCACTAAAGTGTTAGTACACTACTTGACCTGGATAGTCTGTTTTGTTAATTCTGCACCCACAGAAGGTTGTTGAGTATTAGGCTCTCCAACTTATTTTTTACCTTTGTCAATAGTTGGATCCAGTGTTGGAATTAAATGTTCACTTGTGACACTCTTTTCTCCCACCACACTGTTTTCTAGGGCTTGGTCTGGGAAAAAAGCATTTTCCCCAGCACTGGCTTGGCTCCCTAAGTTCCGACTCATATGGCTTCCTTGTTAAATCACTGACACTATTAGTCCTCAACCACTCTCCAAACCGACCCACATTAAGAGTATTTCTAGGTATATCTTCTTTTTTATCGGAGCAGTTCCTATCAAAATGCCCTATGCAACCACAATAAAGCAAAAAGTTTGCAGATTCTCATACTTGAAGTCAATCAATCTATTGTTAGAACCTAGCTTGATGAAGGTTCCTCTAAGGATTGGCTCATTCACTTTGAGCTCCACCAGAACTTTGATCATATGGCCATTTACACTCCCTGCTCCTGGAACTTATACATCCATAATCTTATCTAGCCTTCTCGCAATCTTCAATCATGTTTCAACAGAAATCCTATGCAATGGTAAATTAAATATTTTCACCCATATTTTGATTAATTCCTCATCATCCCTAAAGCATGTTCTCTCAGGATTTTCATTATAATATATTGGTCATCAAATGACCAAGTTTTACCCTGCAATTCTTCTGACTGAAAGAGAAATTGAAAACATTTACTCTCAAGATTCCTAATGGAAAAGAGTTTCTTGGTGATATGGGATACTATACCTCAAGGAGTAAAACAGTCCAGTGAGCTGGTCGAATAAACCGAATCAGTCACCCTGGTCGAACAGAATTCGAGTAGGGTGGTCATGGTTGAACATCATAGGAACAAGAGTCTCTGAAGTGGAAAGATCACTTAAAGGGGATTCCGACATTTGGAGAGCAGGTTGATCCCAGACCCTTGGAGGGTCTGGTTGAGGATCGACATACGCCACAAATGGTCGTCTGTTCGACCATTTACTAAACTCAGAGCACTCAACAGGTCGACCTAGATTTGGTCGAGAATTAGAGCCTTCGAGGAGATCACAAATGAATCAAATCCTCTTGTGCGGAGGACACGTGGAATGGCGTGATTGATCCATATAGAATAACCATCTTTGACACACCTCCAGTGTGTGTTGTATGGGCAAGCCGGGCAGCTTTGGGAAGCCACCTCAGCTCATCCGGGCAGCTTTCTAGATGCAGGTACCTCACCTTTATATATATGAGTGAACTTTATGATTTCAGCATGATTTATCCATTATACTCTCTTGAGACTTGAGTAGAGCTTATATGGACTTAAGCATCGGAGGCTCTCCACAGGAAAACCTCTCCGGTGTGGGAGGTTTTGCAGGTACTCGGCGTTCTACCGGTGAGAAAGACGAGGGCGAGCCAATTTCCAGCCGGTCGGAGTGTTTGATGTACCACTTGGTAACCCAAATTCCTCCTAGGGTGGCCTTCAAACCACTAAAATTAGTTTTCTTATCTCCTAAGACTGCCTATCAAACTAAATTGACATTCCTGAATGCCTGTGACAATATCTTCAACTGAAAGTTTTACATCCTGAGAGTCTAAACCTAAAAGCTTCTCTGTTAATCCTTGAGCCATCACCTAAAAGAAAAACAAGTCGACTACCCTAACAACCCTAAGAGAAAAGGATCAGACACTAAAACAGCAAGTAGAAGCAACAATCAAACAAAGATGGAAAGCAGAAAGACATATAAAACATAACAGCCAACAAAACATACAACCAACATAAGAGAAGGAGTCGAGAGCAACATGACAACAAAAACCCTAAAAAAGAGCAAGCACAGACACCAATACAAAACCTAATCACTACCCCGTGGAAAGAATACAATGAAATAGAAAATGAGAGAAATCCAAGATCTGGAACTAAAGTCTCACGACGATAAAAACCCTAACAAAAAGGGACTTGGACCTTGAATTGTGTGGCAAAGTCTCATTTAGTAAAATTGGCTCACCCATTTACCAATTGAATTTCAAAGATTAATAAGCGGATAATGGTTTGGATTAAATGCATGTGGGTCGGGTCCGTTTGAGTTTGTCAAAATCCGACCCCCTTAAACCTTAAAATTTCCGTAGAGATTGCAGCCAACACATAATTTGTTATAAATAAGAAAGAAATTGTATCCAGGAAATGAAAGAGATGATGGGGCCTGTGGATTGGGACCAGAAGATGTGTTGAGTAAACCAGATCAGATTTCCATATTTCCTCCCCTTATCTTCTTCTTTTCCTGCCCAACATCCACTTTTACCATTTTCACCCTCCATACAGTAGACTGACTGTTGATTGGAGGTGTTTCCCAGAGGTGTGGTGGGCTAAAAAGAAAGAAAAAGGAGGAAGATGACATGCATTTGTTGCAGCTCGGTTTCACCAATCCCTGCTAAATTGAACGTGACTTCTCTCTCTAATCACAAGCCCAGATTCTTTTGCTCTCTTGGAGGTATAACGCTATTTGTTTTTTTGGGGGTTTAATCTGATATACTTATGTTTTCATATGCATTTATGAATGATGTCGAACCCCTGAAATTTCTTTTTTCGTAGATGAATTTACCTTTGTTTTCCTGACAGGGACATTGATCACTAGTGCGTGTGTGCTAATGAAATAATTTATTATAAAGTATGGCAGTTGACAATTTGATTTCAATGGAAACGGATTGGCGAGTGGTAACTTACTACATCCTATGAATGGCTAAGGTCATCTTAGCTCTGTGCGTGTTTGATAGAATGCCTACAATTGGCCTAGCTAGCTGGTTAGCTTTTCGGGGTTGGGGGTTGTTCATATTTCTCTATT